CACCCACCGCACCGCACCGCAACGGTAAGACCGGAGTCGGTGTGAGCCTGGGGTCATGCAGGAGTCATTCATAAGAACAAATTCAACCTTAAATCGTTCGTACGGCTAAATCAGGAGAAAATTCCTCATTCTCCATTTTCTCCCGTTTCTATCTTCGCTCAGGTAGGAACTAATTTTAAGCCTGACTGAAAGAGCAGTCTAGTTCCATCAGTTTTTCTGCGTATCCTGTTGCTTTGCTCTCAGTCAGCAGATCCTCCGTCTCTGAACCACAAAGTTGGAGGTAAAAATATAAGAAGGATGGAAATAAATCTGCTTGTAAAATTTCATGTAAATCTTTTTAAATTACTGTTGTAAATTAAAATTTAAGGATAAAAATCTGGAACTTCTCAGCTGAAGGGCCAATCAGAGGCCAAAGCCGAACGTTTCCATTTCTCAGTGACAAAACTCTGAAATATAAAGAATTAAAAGTCGACAATAAATAAACGCATTAAAAACAAATGAATTCAAACATCCCTGTGATTATTTCTCTCAGTTTATTTACTTTGCTTTAAACTCAGCTGGCAGGATTAGTCCCGCCCCTGGCGTCTGATTGGCTGCTTGATGGCCGCAGCTTTGAACCTGGTCTCGGTTAGCTGGAGCAGGTTCTTCCTGGACTCGTCCCGGTTGGTCCAGAACCCGCATAAAACTCTGTGCTTCTGTCTCCATGTCGTTCATCAGGTGTGTGACGGGAAGGTTTCGGTCCACGTCATCGAAGGAGACCATCGCAGCTTCCTGGAAGCAGAGGGGGTGGACTCCATCAGCACCATCATCCAGAACTCCTTGGCCGGGCCGCGGGTCTCCCCAAAGGAAGGCTAACGACACCCCCACCCCCTCCCCGCTCCACCTCAGCACTGTCGGTGCAGAGGCGGGGTCTCTATCGGACCCACTGAGGTTCCGGCTGAGGGTCTTTGGAAACGAGTTTTGGACTTTTTGTTTACATTTTGTTGCCTGTAGAACGGAGCCTAAAGGCACGTCCAGGTTCTGTTTTAGCTCAATAATAAGTTTGTTCCTTTTTATTAATGTTAGCTTCATTCTTATCGGTTATGTGAGACAGAAGCTCGGTTCTGCTGGTGAACCTTTGGGCCTGCAGTGAATCCTGCGGATGAGCGGCTCTACTGGTACCAGCAGTTCTGGTTCTGAACACTGAACAGTTGGAGCTAAATGTGAGTCAGTTTGACTCAACCAGTTTATTAAAGCCTAACCTTTAACTCACAGCTGTAACCATGGCGATGTAATGAAGCACCGACTCTGCGGTGTGGATGATGCCATCTGAGGAACGGTTTCCTGTCTGCTGAGACCTCATTGGTCAGTGAAGGGTCAGGTGATCCTGATGAATAAAGCCTCTTTGTAAAACACTGATGTTCTGTTGTGTTTGAATGATGATGATGATGAAGGACGGGGCAGATTGTTCAGTTCATCCATAACGCTGTAAAATCTGGACCGGAAGGAGGAGGTGCAGCTCCTGGAAACCAGTCATGCTCATTTATTCAGCACTGGTTCCAATGTTCCCAGTTCAGGCAGATTGAACTGGTTCAGAAATAAAGCGTGATGATGATGATGGACCTGTCCGTGTCTCCTCCTCTCTGCCTCCATAAACTAATATGTTTCGATCGTCTCCAGAAGCAGTTTTTCATATCCAGTTTGTGGACTTCCTGATAGTAAAGAATTACAATAGTCCAGCCTTGAAGTAACAAATGCATGGACTAGTTTCTCAGCATCACCCCTGGACAGGAGATTTCT